TGTTCTTAATGCCCCTTGCTTACGGGGCTAGTATCCCTTATGATTTTCTATGTCACAGACTGCCAAGCTCTTCTTTAAACCCATGTAATGCTGATTTTTTCACATAGTAGGTGCTTGGTAGAGATTAAATGAATTCAAAACTAAGAAGTTATTTAAACCAGTTGATTTGGTTTCCTATAAAATGAAGAGGTTTGAACTCATGGGCACTGGGAGTTGTAGGTACACGTTTTCAACCTTACGTTAAACAGTTGAGTAGTAAAGGCAGAATTCTTTTTTTCTTTTTTTTTTTTGACATTCGCAAATATCTACGGAATGCCAAAAAAGAGAGAGAGAGAGAGAGACTTTCATTTAAATTACTGGAAAGATTGAACAGCTTTTAGACACAGAGGAATTTCTTTCTCTTTTATAATAAACCAGCAACACTCTGTTCAATGACATTTAAGTGCATTCGTGTTTGAGTTGTGGTAACAAGGTTAAAAATGTTCAGTAGACACATTATATTAAAGTTTTATCTATTAAATTCAACAGATGCTTAGCAAGTTTCTACTGTGTGCAAGGCACAGAGCTTGGGAAGATTCTGTGAAGGACAAAGAAGAGTTATATAAAATCCCTTAAAGAGGGGACCATCAGGAACTGCAGCTAGGACAAGTAACATTACAGGAGACACTCCGCGGCATACGTGCCAGAAGACACAGCAAGTTCTGTAAAGGTAGACAAAGAGAAAAAAGAGGTGACATCTTTTGGGAAACTCACTAGAACACTTATTCTTCCATTTCATACACCAACTTGCTAGTGACTTGGAATATGCAATGACAGGTGCCTTTAAAAAGTACATGAAAATAATGGGTTAAAAAAATGAATGGAAATTAAATAAGTAAAAGCAAGAGAAGGCAGTGGAAATTTATTTTTTTTTATTTTTTATTTTTTTCTTGCTTCTGATATTTTATTTATTTTTTTGTTTTTTGGGTTTTTTTTTCATTTTTTCTTATTTTATCATGTTATGTTAATCACCATACATTACATCATTAGTTTTTGATGTAGTGTTCTATGATTCATTGTTTGTGCATAAAACCCAGTGCTCCATGCAGAACGTGCCCTCTTTAATACCCATCACCGGGCTAACCCATCCCCCCACCCCCCTCCCCTCTAGAACCCTCAGTTTGTTTCTCAGAGTCCATTGTCTTTCATGGTTCGTCTCCCCCTCCGATATCCCCCCTTCATTCTTCCCCTCCTGCTATCTTCTTTCTTTTTTTCTTTTTTTAACATATAATGTATTATTTGTTTCAGAGGTACAGGTCTGTGATTCAACAGTCCTGCACAATTCACAGTGCTCACCATAGCACAAATTTATGGGCATTCTAACATTGCCCATTTAACATGATAGATTTTAGGGGGAATATGAGCATAATCTTATCATCGCACCACGATTATTTTCATTTGCGTTAGGTATTTGCGCAGTTCTGAGAACAGCACTTTTCTTTAACACGTAGAAAGGAGAACAGCTTATTTCAGAGGGTGAGCTTTTGCATGCTGCAAACCTCATTCAAGCCATGGCCTGTGTGACACAGACACCTCTCGCACTTAACCTACGTGAACCAGGTTTTCTAAACTGGAAAAGAAGTAACGACAAGAATAATAAAGCCGATTTCCTGGGTGGTCAAGAGGATTCAGTGAGATGCTCCAGGGAAATGACAGCCACTGTCACAACAGAAGGGCCCAGGACAACAGTGGTTCTTCACACCATCTTCCTCACTTTACCTCCTACATCGTTCTCAATACCCCCCCAAGCCCCATCATTGAAATCCTTCATATTCATAGGATATGGGTCTGAAATCCCAAGGAACAGGCAGATTAACTCCAAAGAGCTGCATAGCAGCAGACCACGTAGCGTGTCCTGGAAATGCAGCACAGTGATGAAGAGCAGGCTCCGAAGGCTGAGCCCCAGTCCATGCTGTCGGTGTGGGACAAGACCCATACCTGCTTCCCTCCAGCCGGAAGCATCAGGAGACAGAGATGCGATGGCTTCTGCCTTCGCCCCCCTGCAGAAGGTGGCCCAGACGCCTCTGGGAGCCCCGGGGAGTCACCTCTTTGCCTGAGACAGTACCAGAAGGCCCGAGCAGGAGCCTCAGCAAGAGCAGAAGGAAGCCAAGCAGACGCATTGCAAGGGCTCTGTGACCTACACCGCCCCTGGGCCTGACGCCCACAATTTACGCCAGAACCTACGCATCCGATCTAAGTGGAACAACAACATGCTAAAGTAGAAGACTTAAACAGGCTCGAGAGTTTCCTAACATCATAACCGAATATCCAGGATATAATAAAAGATCACCCGTCATGCCCCAAACCAGGAAAGCCACAATCAAGAAGAAAAGATGCTCCACCAGTGGCGATAATGAGGTGAATCAGATGTTTGGATTATCCCACCAGGATTTTCCAAGTGCTTCCAGAATCAATTCTAAGTTCTCTTGAAACCAATTTAAAAAATGGAAAATCTCAGCAACCAGACGTTACACAAAAGAACCAGGTTGGAAATTACAGGACTGAGAAGCATAGTCTCCAACATAAACAAGCTTGCTGGATGGCCTCGCTTGGAGATGGCAGGGAGCCGACTCAGGGACCACAGCAAACAGAGGAGCTAATATTTATATCCTTGAGATCTCAGAAGGATGGTGGCAGTGTGTGGGACCGAGAAAATATCGGAAAAAAAGAGTGGTTGAAAAGCAGTAGGCATTACATCTACATACTAACTTCCGACAACTGAGATAAAATGGTACCCCTTCGCCTAAGATGTAGAAAACCTGGAATCTTATAGCTCCTTCAACCTCTCCATCTTCATGCTCTAGTCATCATAGTATACCTGCACACGTTACGCATCTCACAAGACAATCTTACATTATCTTGCGTTCAACAGTCCCATGTATTGTAAAGAAATTAAGAGAAAATAGGAAATATTTTATACTTTCTTAGATATTTGCCTTTTCCTGTTGTCTGTATTGCTTCTTAACGATTTGCATTTCCATCTGGCATCACGCTCTTTTGGCATGGACTTCAACGAGCATCGTTCGAATAGCTGCTTTAAAACCCTTTTTTGCTAATTCCCATGTCTCAGTCATCTTGGAGTCGATCTCTAGTGTTTGTCTTTTCTCTGAAACTGGGTCACATTATTCTGGTTCCTCGTATGTTGCATAATTTGGATGGAATCTTGAATATCACATGGAGGTGGGTCTGGATTTGGGATATTCCTCTAGAGAGTGTTGATGTTTTTGTCTCTTCTGGCAATGAATTTGGTTGGATTCGAACCGCAAATTCTCTCAGGCAATGGATCAAATCTTGATTTGGTTCTTTTGTCCTTAGCTGCTCTGTGTTCATTCTGTCTGTGAACATGGCACGGGTGGTCCATGGGTCAGGCAAGGACAAGGGCAGAGTTTAAGCACCGAACTTGGGGCTCCCCCTCTGGGATCTCACCCATTTCCCCCCTTTCCAGTGGCCTCTTCAGGCCCCGTTTCTACCAGATTTTGGCCAGCCTGCTTGGTACTGACTTTGTTCTGCCCTCAGAATAAAAACTGTTAACACATGAGAAGTTACCCCCAGCTGGTCTCGCCTCCCAAAACTTACACCTCTCCAGAATCTGCCAGTTTTGGTTCGCTCCCTAGGATTGTTGCTGAGTGTGTGCAGAACCTGGTTATCCGGTTGCCCAGAAACTAGAGTTGGGTTCAGTTAGAACTTGCCCCACCATGGAAGCAGAAACCTCCCTGAGGTTTTGAAGGGAAATGCAGTCAAAACCCAGAAGCAGGTTTGAACGAATGTCATTTTTCAAACACCCATTCTTTCCAAACAAGATCCTGTTTTGCCTGTCCATCTGGTTCTTTGATGCTTCTCAGTAAAATTTTCTTCATATAAATCCTGCATATTTCTCACCCGGTAAGTATCTACATGCATTATACTGAAATTGATTGCATTTCATTTGCCTCTATTTCCGTGACATTAATTTGCTCATTTATGGAAGCCTTGTTAGGGACGGGCCTTTCCCTCCCTGTGGCACAAGGAGTCTACAGTTTTGTTCTGAACACACACCCGGGTCAGCTAAGCTCACCCGTGGTCCAGCCAGCCCGGGTCTGCTTTGTAGTCATTGTCCTGTTGAGCTCCTCGGGTTGGGATCACCGATCTTGGGCTGGTTCCAAGTCTGTCTCTTCAACGTAGAATTGAAACACAGATTACACTGCAGCATATGCTCTGGCCTTGCTGAGAATTTCATATGCTGAGAACTCCGAGAGCTCTGCACGGACAGTGTAGCGACAGAATGGGAAAGGGGGTCAAGCCATCTTCTCTGCAGTCTTTTTCTTGTCTAAAAATCTTTTTAATAGACTGAACCAGCTCTAAGTGGAATTTTCCACAAACATGCAGAAACAACATAAGACTGCGGTTTTCCTTTTCTTTTGGTAAATAATTATATAGTTACCTGCACTAAATTTGGGGGGGGGTACAAAAAAACAGAGGGAAGTTAAAATGAGAAATAAAAAAACAATAGCACATTAGTAAGCTTTTTAAATGGACTTGATTTTAAAAATTAATTTCAGATATTAAAATCAAGATCAGAAAAATTGAAAGCAACTTCTCTTTTTAAAGATCTACAGACAACTTCCATTCCTAAATATTACTTTTATATTCTGAATCCCCATAGGTTTCTAGGAAAATGCATTTGAAGTTATCCAAGTGTTTGGCTTATCTCTGGCATCTAACGGGGAGCTTGATGTCTGTTGAATAGAATAAAACCAAGCAAATGTTCTTTTCCATATAGGAGATCTCATTTCCTTAAATTTCACTTAAGAAAACAAGAAGTACTTTAGTCGTATGCCGTGAAGAGTGGCGATACCCAAGAACATTACTCATTACAGATGGAAGACTTAGCTATTTCACTGGACTACGTAAGTTCCTTAAAAAAAAAAAAAAAAAAAAAACCCAAAAAAACTACTGCTTCCCCAAAGAAGTTACAAGAGATCAAAAGCACACTAAAAATACTTTATTGTCATTACTAAATGCATTATATATACATGATAAATAGAATATTTGGTACATCTGATGAAACACCCAGTCTTTGTCAAGGTAAAAGAAATACCCAAAGAATGGAAAGATGGCACACATTAAGAAAAAAAAAAAAAGAACAGGTCTCAAATATTGCAAGAACTATAAAATGTGCCACATTCTACAATTTTTCTATTAAAGATTAAACAATTAAACAAAAGGAGACTAAACATTATATATGGTTTGAAGAAATTAAATGCCAGATATTCTACAGAAGGAGAAAACATTAGCACCCTGGAATAATTTTCATTCCTGGTCTGTTTTCTGCCCACTGGAAAAAATTGCACTGTTTTGCCTTCCCAAGAGGACACACAAAAAAATTCTTTCCGTTATTAGGTCCAATCTTCAACACCGTTCTCATGATGGAGCGTTTGCCATGGTTGCAGAATGGGAATGACAAGTCTGCCCACTACAGGGTGAAAACAGAAGGATTGTAAAGTTTAAGTGCAGGTTAGAAATATGTACAGGCTGAGCCTGGATGCACATGATCAGTGCACCCCACATTCCCTGCTACTATTAATCTGACATTGTAAAATTGACACAAGTCATTAGTTCTTGCCCTTAAAACAGCTTATAGACTATAAGCATCTCTTCTACAAATTTGTTTGAATTATGCAGTAAACTGCCATGATTCTGAGTTTCTCTTTGTCTAAAGGCATACTTATAGGAGTTCTTTCCTCTTTGTTGAAAATATTTGGAAATGATCAGAGTCTTGCTGGAAAGCAATCACCAATGTTTCTATCAGTCTGTTTCAGTTAAAATGATTAAGATCAAAGATTTGTTATGAGTTTGATACTAAAGTTCCTTCATCTCTTAGGAAAAGAAAGAATCCAATACAGAATTACATGGATGAATTTAGGCAGATTCCCTTGTATTATTCTTATAAATTTTGGCCTCAAGGGAGCTTTAGAACAAGCTGTGATATTATTTATTTGCTACCTAATATTTTTTCCATTACATCCACAAAAGCTCCTTGAGGAGGAAATGTGTCAGTTCAGGAGGATGGAGTTACATCTTGTGCAGGGGTTAAGACCTGGGAAATTCCTGAAGATGAAGATTTTCTCTCTCAGTGAGCCCAACCAAAAAATTTCTGTTTCAGCACTGAAACAGAACAGTGTTTTCTTTTTTTCAGTTATTCAGCAGATACAACAACTGGAAAAACACAGATCTTTACACATTAGAGTCACACAGCATAGTGAGAGGCTCACACCTTGAGAACCACAGAAGGTGAGCCTGAGGAAGGAGAAGGACCCCAGATTCAAGTGTCCTATCCCATCTTCATTTCCAGGGACACTCACAGATCGGCAAGGAGGGAGGAATCGCCCTCTATTTACATTGTTATCCTGCAAGCTTGTGTAATCGGATTCACTATGTTTACTCTAAATCCAAGGTATATAAACTATTTTTCCTGGGTACTTCTATCCAATGCACAAACCAAGGGTTTCGTAGCAGAAGTTAGGAAGAGCATGTTTGCATCTTGGATTATTCGCCACCTGGGTAATACCTTCCTATCTTTTTAAACCAAGGGCAACACATCTACACTTGTGGTTACGTGTGTGACATAACCAGAATCATCTAACAGCTATTATTTGATTACTTTTTCTTTTTTTGATGAAGCTCTTTGAATTTTAAGTTCTTCAACATTCAGGCTTTCGAATTAAGTGTCAATATGGCAATTTAAAATTTAAAGGTGAGAAAGGAAATAAAATTTAAAGATGAAATTGGAAAAAAAATTGCTATTCATTACTTTTTTTTTTTTTTTTTTTTGGAGAAGCAGAGAGGAAGTGCAGAGGGAGAAAGAGAACCTTAAGCTCCGACGTGGGGCTCGATCTCGCAACCCTGAGATCATGACCTGGGCCGAAATCAAGAGTCAGATGTTTAACCAACTGAGCCACCCAGGCACCCATTATTCATTACATTTTAATAACAGAAGTATTCAATTACATGAGAGCGAGCTTGAAAAATCTTACACGTACTTGGAAAAATCCACACTGCGCTCCTCTAGGTAGAGGACAAACATAAAACTGCCTGCCCTTGTTTTCACCATCCTTCCGCACAACCTGGAGAACGCAGAGGCGGTTGTGTTTACTGCAGCGAGGACTGTCAGCATTTAATGCACGAGTACCATCTGTCATATTAATTCCAAGTTCACTGAAATGACAGGTTACAAAGTTACTACAGTGTAACAGCGCTAAAAGGGATCATTCCCACCACCTCCCCGTGTCTTGTCTGTACCAAGACACGGTACCAAAAAGTGGACCATGGCCAACTGTAGGTCATTACACACACTGTGACATCTTTTTAACTCTTGGGTTCCCCAGGTAATCCAAATTCACTTCCGAAGCTACCTATGCACCCAAAGCACACGATTAAAATTTCTAAAGAATAAAAACAGCTGAAATGTGCACCCAGTACATCCACTTTACCTACTTTTCATTTGTGATATCCAGTTCTTCCCTTCCTCAGGATTACAGTGTGGCCCCTTTTATTTCCCCTAAAATATTCTCAAGTCCGCTGCTCCCCACCCCCCGAACTAGAATGAGTCTTCTCTAATTATGTTCTCATCGGTAGCAAACTCTCGCCGATGGCTCTGACAAGGCCAAAGAGATCACCCTTTCTATTGTCCACTTTAGAGACAATTTTCTATGCTTTTCTTTGATCAAGGCTGCTATAATAGTTGCAATCATATTTCAGCAAGGCACGGGCTGCCTGGCAGAGCAGAAATGTATGTTTTGTAAAGCTACTAGGGAAGCTTTATTCTCCCCCACAATTACGATCAAGAGTAACTGCAGGTTATTCCCACACAGAGTGGACTAAGGTCAGAAGCCGGACTTCTACTGTAGCTGGAAAAGCAGAATTTTCTCTTGGAAAAGGAGCTTAATGATTATTTTAAGGTTTTTTTTTAATATTTTGCATATTTTTAATAATGCCTTTATAAGAACTAGTCTTTTTATAAAACGGTTGAAGAGAAAAAGAGCTCACATTAATTAAAACCAGAAGTCCTTCCCCTTAATACCCTATTTTAAAAACTTTTTAATGATAAAAAATTCATCCTTTCTCATTTGTTTTGGTTAAAATATCATTATTAAATAATTTCTATGATGGAATAAAATATTACTCTTAGACAATTTTTTAAAAAACACTGAAAAATCATAAATACATCCCCTTTTTCTTGCTTCCTAAGCTACATTCTTCATATACTTGTTCCTATAATGATACCTCAAGGTATCATATCTAACTGAAGTGTTCAGAGTTTGAGGTATTTTTTCCTCCCAGTTTTATTGAGACAGAACTGACATACGAGGTCTTTTGTGATGAAATTGGTTTAAAATCACCTATAAAACAAACACTTATACATTGCTTTAAATTAACTCAACTTTAAATAAATAAAAGCTTTAAAAAGAAATAAATTAATTAACTCAAATATTCTGAGGGTGGTTTCTGAAGCTGGTCATGCAGTAGGCATTGCTAAGGAAATCATTATAGTTCAATATTTTGCCAGCAACTGTTTTGTGGCTACCTTCTTCCGGGTGGGGGACGGTAGTCAGTATTTTAGAATTAGAGGTAATACCATCCCGAAATAGCAAAGCCTGAAGACAACAGGACTTTCTTTTTCCATATCCCTCCATTTACCAATACCCCTTCCAAGAGAGGGGATATTGAAACTTAAACTTCGAGAAAAACTAAATATGTAGATGGTTGCAGAGAAGTCAAGAAATGTCAAAACCAAAGCAAGGGGATCATAAATGTGCTTGGAAAAAAAAAAAAACTGTTGAGAGAAAGAAAAAAAGGTAAAGAATGCCAATAGAAAGGAGTGAAATGCTTTCTTACAGAAAAAAAAATCCACACATGCAAATAGTTTTCTACATTATTTTGAAGGTGGCTGCCTTAGATAACAATTAGTTGAACATTTTCTAACCCATTTGCTTCTACCTAGATATCTCCAGGGCTCCAAATACCCAGGAGAGGTTTAAATTCTCTTACCAGTGAAGCTTTCCTGGGGAGGGGCAAGGTGGAAGGTAGGGTTACGATGGGGGGAGAAAAGGCCCCCGTGTCCCCCCCCGGGTTCCTCATTTCTGTCTGTCATTCCATTTCCTCCTTAGTATAAGTTAAAGACAAAAAAATCCACATGCTACCTTATTCCTAGTACTTAGAGTGGGATCCACTGACCAGAAGCATCAGCAGTACCTGGGAGAGCCTTAGAAACACAGAATTACCCACCCTGCTCCAGATCGGCTGCAGAATTAGAATCTGGATGTTAACAAGATTCCCAGGTGATTCATATGCACATTAACTTGTGAGCCACTGAGTTAATGTAACCAAGATATTGATGCCACCTGTGATCGCATCAACTCTAAATATGCACAGCTAATCTTAATTTTATGATAGAAAACATTATCCAGGATAATTAAATGTTCTGATTAATTGAGGATATCTTGGTTCCTCTGTTTCCATCATTATTTAAAAACTTTCTAAAATGTAGCAGAGCATTTTCTTAAGGTAAACTTAGCACGCAAAATAGTTTAACTTATTTTGATAACTAGGACCATCATTTTGAATATTAACAGTGGATTATAAATGGCCTATTAATATGAGAGATCAGGGGTTGACAAATCTTTTCAGATGGCACATATTCTCGGCTTGTGGGTCTTAACAGTCTGTTGCAACTACTCAACTCTGCTGTTGTAGCATAAAAAGCAGCCATAGAAAATACGTCAGCCTATGGGACTGGAAGGTGTGCCAGTAAAACTTTATTTATAAAAACAGGCGGTGGGCCAGATTTGGCCCTGCCAATGGTAAGTAAAAGTCATTAGAAGTGAGCAATGCTTGATGCCTAATAGGTTCTCAATAAATACTTGTTAATTAATAAATAACACTGAACAGAGATCAGATAAAGACTATTATCAAGAACAAGGACATGACTATGCACAGTCTGTAATTTTAAAATGGACAGTTTTCAACAATCGATTTATCATGGTTTAACTTATCTTACAGATAGGGTGATTCATTACAATGAAAACACTGCCTATAATGTTTTTGAACTAATCAGTGCCGTTGAATGTAGATTTTGGAGCTCAGTGGTATTTCAAGAAATAAAACAGAGGTTCAGTGACTCATCCTAGGTGGTCCCAGGTGGTTCTAAAATCCTTGGGGGCTGCAAACTGCAAAGGGGACAGGAAGTGCGTCTAAGGGGTCAGTGTTTCCCCAGTGTGAGAGGTGGAGCCTGCCAGCCCTGACCAGGGACAGGAGAAAGTGTTGGTGATTCTGCCAGTTTTATTTCCTCCTGCGAGTGAACCTCGGCTCAGCTCGGGAAAAGCCTTAACCGAAAACACATGTGTTCTTTGCATACGCACCCTAGTGTTTTGCTCTGCCTTTACAATAATTGGATCAAAGACTTAAAACTGTTTCTAGCAGTTCTTCTGAGCTGCTTAAAAACCAGTTCAACCATCTAATTTATAATCCAGTAGCTGGATAAAATTCAAGTATATCCAAAGACCAATCTGGAAATATGCCTCATCAACATAGCATGTATCATGTGGTGAGGAGATCAGTAATTAAGAGAACAAAAGGCAAATTAATTACCATATAATTATTAAAGAAAAAAAGAAATAAACTGGCTATAAATTCTCTGAGTGGACCACCTGCTTTAATCGTATTATGTTGTGAGCTTCTGCTCGGCATCTTGTCCACAAGATGAACACTGTAGCTGCCAGACAAGGAGAAAAATGAAATAAATGACAGTAATTTGCAATTTATTCCTTGTAAAGTAGCTGGGTGCAGAAGGGCTGCTGGGTGAATGTATTTCATCACTTGACATTTATTCTGCTAGTTGATCTTGATTGATTTTAGAGTCTCAGTCCTGGGGTTCTTATATTCAACACATACTCAGGCTGCAGTGTTTCTAAGTAATGCTGTGTGCTGTGATTAATCATATGACCCTATTACAAATGGCTTATGAAGAAATCATTTAAATTTAAGGTTACATTAATGTTTTTTTAAGTCCCTAATTCATTAGTTAAATTGTCTGAGATTTTCTACAAAGCACTGAGGAAATAAAAGTATGCCAAGATATTTCATCTGGGTACAGGGAAGGCCACAACACTTTAAATTGCTCGCATCTACTTCTTTCCGCCGAAGCTACAGCACAGAAAAGACTTCAGTAGGGATTTTCTTAGAGGATAGCCTCCCAACTCAGACGCTCCAGACCCTAGCTCCTTCATGACCTTTGACTGGGGTTCATTAGACGTTAATTAGGATGAAAGTGTAAAGGGAGTGTCCTGATCCAGGCAGTTAAATGCTTCGTCTCCACAGCTTAATTCACATGTCTGTCATTCCTAAGTTATGGACAAAAGTTAAAGCAGTTATTATAAATGATTATGAGCAAGATTTTTTTTTAAGAAATCAGCCAAGGATAAATCATCAAGACTAACTTGATGGTAAATTTAGAGTTGGGATAGAAGACTCGAGACAAAGGAATCTATCAACCAAACACCGCCTCAGAATTATGAAATAAGCTCCAAGGGTTCCCAGAGGCTAGTCTGGGATGGTACCCCAGCTGGTCCCCCGTCTTGCCACCTGAGGGAGGAATCTTCCCCTCAGCAAAGACACAGCCCATCTGGGGAGAAGCTAATAATGCAACTCCCCCCCCCCAACAATGATCACTTTAAGTCCCACGCACACCACCTCTTTTCTGCCTGTCTCCCACGGGCGCTAAAAGACCCATGGGAAGAAGACTCGCCACCTTCACTTCATTGTAAAAATGCAGGATGGACAACCCTTGCTTTCTGAAGGAAAAAAAACAAAACAGCTGGGGAAAAAATTGTGGAGAAATGTCTCTCTCTGAGGGAAGCCTAATATCAGGTTGTGACAGTAAGGAAGTCCAGATAAAGGGTCTAAGCAAGGTAATATGGAACAGGTAGTTTTAGGCGCTGCCAAGAATCCTAAGAGAAGGGGTGACATTGTTTATTAACATTGCTATCTCTGGTGACAGCAATTGGCGGTGGGGGGTGGGGGCTTCTAGATGTGAAGTTCATTGTCTCAAAACATATCTGGTCTGCTAGTATTTACTAATCAAAATGACAACTTTTCAAGTTCAGATACAAAAGTGGCAGACGTGTTCTTTGGGCCTTATTGGCCAAAACAAACAACACCATCCCACATGGCTATTGAGATAAAGTCACTTTCTTTAGCAGAAATGTCACTAAATGTATCTCCAATTCCCTCTCTTTAGAAGACACTTAACTGTCATGAGTAAGTCTCCCTTTTAGAAGAACTATCTTTCTTTGGAAGGAAATATAAAAAAATGCTTTAACAGTGGTGACTGGTATCAGGTGGGATTATGGGGGATTTAAACATTTTTCTTTATACTTTCTAATATTTTCCAACTATTCTGTATTGAACTGTAGGCAGTTACAGTCAGAATAAGATAACTTTTTACGAAGAGATGTAGAAGGTTCTGTTTTCATTCTCTTCCCTTCTCTAACATTATAAGCTAGAGAAAGCAAGGGAAGTAAATTACCATAATCATCTTTCCAGGTTTGATTTACCTTCCAAAATCAATGCAATTGCTTTAGCAGTGAATGACTTCTCTGCCTTCTTAAAACTTAATGCAAATACCTTCAAGATCAAGGTTAGAAGTATCACACCTGTTAGAAAATCCAGGGTTACCACTTTTGAGGTCTGGTGATGAGGTGTGGGTTGTTTTCAATTTTTTATATGCTGGGCTAAATAATTTAGACCGAGAGCAGACAGTAGGCGATACGTTTACTTTGTTAGATGGTTGTGTTGTCTGGTGTGCCCTCTCCTCGGAAGGGTGCAGTGGATCACTAAAACAAACGTCAGTCAGAGGAGGGTTTTGAAATTCTCCATCTAGTATCTGGTTTTGGCTTCTTTTTCTTTCCAAAGCACTGGATTTATTGCTGAAATCGGCCAAGACAAGCGTTGTAGTTCCAAATGCCGTTTTCCTGTTGATCTTCACTTCTGTACTTGGTTTTCCAAAGCTATTACACGGATACTTCACTAAGCTGTTAAAGTCAATAGAATGTTCTTCATTCTTGATTACTGAATCTGGGAGGAGAGAGAGAGGTAAATCTGCAGTATTCCTATAGTATATGGACTATTTGAAATATATATAAACATATATATTTGTAATATATTGACCATTTGAAACATCTATTTATATGACTAAAACTTATTCCCCTATGATAGTGAATACATAGAACGAATAACACAAAGTTACTTTGGACAATTCAGGATTAGCCATGTTCTTGCTAGGAAAATGAAGTGTAAAAAGTTCAATTACTCATAGAGGCTCCGAGGTGGGTTTAACAAAGATTTATATTTACTTCTTACTATGTCTAACCATTTAAAAGGTCATTCAGCTATCAATTCTGTTACTGTGAGGCAACATATTAAAGCAGTCGTAATTAAAAGGTTGGTCAGATCAGCAGCTAGAGACCTGTCTCTAGATTATCAGGAATGTTTCTGTGAATGACATAGTAAAGGGAAAGGCTTAGTAAAATTAAGCAAAGATGAATTATAAAGACTTAACGTTAATTAAAAATGTTTCAGCAAAGCATCCCGGGATTTTGGAATCGGTGCTGTAATATGTTCTAAATTGTAGTCTTTTGTACTCAGAGAAATAACAAGAAAATAGTTAAAGAGAGGCCAAGAGCCATTTCAGTTGAAATGAACGAGGAGACCTAAGACTGTGGTTTTCTGAGGGCTCTCTGCTCAAAGATCCAGAAACAGGAGGCGCTGTCCCTTCCAGCAAAGCTGTGTGCGGGGCCAGGCCCGCCTTTCTGGCCCAGAGAACAAAACGCAGCTTGACAGCCAGCACAATGTGGGGTCCACAAGTCAAGGATGAACTTTTTCATCTCTAATTGAAGGAAGAAAGAATGCTTTGAGAACACAATAGGAGCTGCATCAGTGAGTGGGTTCTTAATCACGGGCTCTCTCTGAGGTTTAACTTTCTCTGAACGCATGAAATTGTGAGCTGTAAAGACTTATTTTGAAGGATTTCAATGAAATCAGTACAATTGTCTGGGTAAAGATTTTAATAACAAGGGGTAGGAAGGATAAAGAAGGGAAAAAATTCAGCATTTTTCTATTCCACCTGCAACGATATTCTTGCAGAAATCCTCCCTTTCAGTTTATAAAGCACTTGGACTGAATAACAAACCCAAAAGTTGCTGAAATCTGCATAAAACAAAGCTTTATTGAATAATTCATTAGAAATAGTAGAGAACAGATGTGATCATCTCCGTTTTTTGAGATACAAAGGCACATACTCTTTTAGCACAAGCATGTTTTCCTTCCCTGTTGGGGAAAAAAAAAAGTACTCAATAGAATATTAGCGTGGTTTACATGCAAAGTCTGGCAATTCCTTTAAACCTTTCAGAAAGAGAGCATTTTACTTAGTTATGAAATATCAAGATGGAACAAGATATATACCTTTGTATCATTAGCCCTCTTTGAAGTGTTAGGAACTCAAAATCAGAATTCAGGCTTACCGGTAGGCCTTGAAGTCAGGCAAGCATCACAGGTCTTCGAAGACGGCCTATTTATCAGCGTACAGACCACACACGTCCATTGCTCTTCACATTTGCCAGCCAAGTGCTCCCTGCTACTAGATGGCCATCTGATTGTAGTGTTTCTCACGGGCAAATTGCTACAAAAGGATTTTTAAGGGTACTCATTAACACTGTTACTGTTGTTCTTGTACATTCTAGGTATTTTAGAAATTCTTATAACCATTAATACCCAAGTGGGTACAGGCCCTAACTCTCTCGGAATAAGATGTTTCTTCTTGGGCCCTGTTGATTGCTGTTAAAGACAGAAATAACAAATAAACCTTTTTATTTAGAACAAGAGTTTTTTTTTTTTTTTTTTTAACTCACTAAAAATAGTTGACAATAACTGCTAGGAAGCATTTCTCAAATAAGGTTTTAAGTACGTGGTACTCTTCCCAAAGCCAAACTAAGATATCTTTATTGAACCAAATTTGGGGGGTGGTGGGGCAAGATGGGGGGAGAAAAGAATTAGGCAGAAATTAGAACATGGAAAGTGAGAAAAATTTTAGTTACTTCATGTGCATGTCTCTCTAGAATTTCTCAACACTGTCTACTAAGCACTATATCGATCAGCTGATCTATAATGAAGAAAAAGATACCTGGCCTCATATTACTTCCCCTAAGGTAAAACTGTTTCCTGTTAGGTATCTAATGAATAGATCAGTAAGAAAACAATAAAACTAACGCTGACTTTTGGACACAAATGTAAATCATGATTTCCCACCTGGAATTCTTTTCTTTTTTGTTAAGATTTTATTTATTTGGCAGCGAGAGAGCGCAAGCAGGGGGAGCAACAGAGGGAGAGGGAGAAGCAGACTCCCTGCTGAGCAGGGCGCCCCATGCGGGGCTCGATCCCAGGACCCTGGGATCATGACCTAAGCCGAAGGCAGACACTTAACTGACTGAGCCACCAGGCACCCCTCCCACCTGGAATTCTTAATTGACTATTTATTGTTACACAAAATGCCATTAAAAACTCTGATAAAGTCCTACTCTTAAATACATAGTTCCACAGAGCATGTCACTTGGGTAAGTAACGGGAGAGCATCGCAGATTCCTTCAGGATTCCAAACATTCATACTGAGAAGAGCTTTTTGGTAAAGGCTATGGGACCTCCCTTTTCAGAGCATGTGTTCTTTGACTTCAGAGGTACCCTGTCTCCTGTAACATTTTGCTCTGTACATATAATTACACCAGTTTTTAAATTCAGGCTTGTCTGGTGAAATAACAAATAGCATAAGAAAGTCTGAAAGTGAGACGCATCTCATTATGGTTCTTTTATCTTCACTGACTTTTAATGCCCCTCAGTATTTCTTATTCCTATGGAACCCCAGACCTCCCATAGAATTTGTATACTTGACCTAACTCCTGCCCTCCTACCAACTTACTCTGAAAGGGAGCAAAATGCATTTATTCATAATTAAACAAACACAATTTAAATAATCTTCGGATTTTCTATACTACAATTTTCACCATTCTTATCTTCTAACCTACGGATTTCACTAATCAGAAACCTATGTTCATTGTTACATGCAGAAGCTTTGGAAGCATTTCTTCCCCTTACTGTCCCACTTCTTAATCACCTAAGAAATTCTTTCCAATCCCCACTTGGATGTGCAACAGGAATCTCAAAGTTAATATACGTCTGTCATGGACTGAGTAACCATCTCCCAAAAATAATGGGTCATAATACCAGGAACCTGTAAACGTTAATTTATAAAGAAAGAGGACCTTTGCAGATGTAATTAAAAACCTTGATGTGGGGAGATTATCCTGGATCATCTGGGTGGCCCCTTAATCCAGACCCCAGTGTCCTTGTAAGAAAGATGCAGAGGGAGATTCGATACCCCTGCAAGAGAAGGCGATATGACCACAGCGGCAGAGACTGGAGTGAGGCAAACCACAAAGGAAGGAGCCCTGACCACCACCAGAGGCTGGAAAAGGCAACGGATTCTCCTCTAGAGCCTCTGGAGGGAGCACAGCCCCGCCCACACCTCTGGCCCCATGGAGCTGATTGATGTTGAGCTTCTGGCATCCAGAACTTCAAGAATAACTTTCTGCTGCCTTAAGGTACCAAGCTTGTGGTCATTTGTTAGGGCTGCCACAGGAAACTAGTGGAAATAAAATTCAAGATCACACCCCCCACCCACACCTTGCAACTCTGCTAGTGTGTCTCATCTCAGTAAATGGCTTCACTGTGCCCTCCACGGATCAGGCCAAAAACCCGGGAGTGGTCCTTAATACTTCTTACCCTCACGTGCCACATCCAGTCCACCAGCAAATCCTGTCGGCTCTGCTCCAGAGGCAGATTTACTCTGAAGCTACTGAAGCTTCCATAGCTCGGTGTGTTCTCCTCTACAGACCAGAGTGGGGATCGGGGAGAACGCAGGCAGTAACCCCAGCCACGAGATGGGGACTAAGAGCACTGTCGGGGGCGTCAGTCCTGGGGTTCTGGCCAGGCAAGGCCCATGCACCGCCAGCACCATCTTGCATCTGCTCAGTGCCAGGGACGAGGTGCCCTGGTGACATCAGGAGCAGGACTATCTCTGCTTTCACAAGGACCTGAAAAGGTCTGCCCCATTCTTTGCTAAAGGGCCTTTATGACCCAGGCTGCAAGGCCATTTGACACATGCACCCCCCAGCAAAGGCAAGAAGTATGAGGCCAAAACGTGGAAGAAAGTGATTACACAGTTGTGGCTTGCAGCTGGCCAGAGTATCTTATTTATCTCATCTTTGTGGTGTTTATAAACTATAATTTGTTGTTTCTTATTCTAAATATTCATAGTAGGACCAAACTTAGCATTCATACTTATAAATTTTTTTTCATAAAGAAAGCCCCCTAAATTGTGTAAGTTTCAGCCCTTAACCCCACCTCAACTTCTAAAATGATCCTTAATTCAGCCATTTCTTGCCCCCACTCCCTCCACAAGTTGCCATCATTTATCACGGGCGCTACTGTTGAGGGCACCCAGGCACCATCTCTTCACTCTGGTCACACTTACAGTCACTTTTCCACACGGTGGCCTCACAGTCCTCATAAAACACAAATCCGTGTATGTCACCCCCCTGCTCAAAACGTTCCTGCGGCTTCCCAGCTAACTCAAAGTCAATACACCCCACGTTACCCAGAGCCATCTTTCAATATATAAATCAGCTACTTCTCTCCTGTTCAAAACCTCCAAAGGCACCTCATCATACTCAGAATAAATCCAAAACTTCTTGCCCCTCGGCCCGCGTTCATTCTGCTCGGCTCACAGCCACGCCTACCTCTTTCTCCCCAAAAAACAAGTCAGAGACTTCATGCTTCTCCAGTCACCTTCTCCTCCACTTTCACGAGGCATCAGACTCTTCCAAAGGTCTCCTCAGAGACTTTATCCACCCAAACTATTGAAAATGAATTTCCCTGTCACTATGTGCCCCCTCACTGAAGGGGATGCGTCTGCAGAGCACTGTGTATCGCTGCCGGATACCTTACACATCCAGGGACATAGAGCTTTGTTTTTAAGATCTCCTCCCACTGGAATATAGAGTTCCATGAATAGGCCACAAATACAGGTGAAATGAATGGATTTTGCCCCGTGTGCCTATGGAGGCTACTTTCTGGAAGATCAGCATTTCTGAGTCGTCAAAGGCAGCGGCCGTCCCTTAAGCCCCGCCGGCTCAAACTCCCTGGATGTCACTCTGTCAAAACTTCTCACTGCTCTTCCTTGGGCGCGTTTTCTTCTTTTGATCAGCAAAGTCCAGGTAACCTCAAGGGTCTCTCCTGGACCTTCCTAGCTTCTCTCTGTGCATACTCTCAGGGAGTGCAAATACTACCAGATCCGACTCTCAGCTCAGATTATTCCAAGACGGGTCATGGGGAAGAGCTCTGTTCTCAGAAGCCAGAGCCATAAAAAACAGGTGGAGGACGACCGTGTCTCTAAGGAGTGTTGGCAATTCTCAGTGGAGATCAGTTGCTGGCATGGCAAGCAACTGATTTCCCTTTGTCTACCAAATTGATTATTTTTTAAGGACAGCAATGTAAATGTTAATAAAACAAAAGAAGGTACACAAAATAAAGTAGCATTTAAAGGTTGGAAGAAAAAGAACGACTAAGCGGCTGCCCAATTGCTATTTCAGTGCAATCAACTGCTATTCCAGTCTAATCTGATCCCCCACTCACGGAGCACCAATACTTTCTGGAAGCCCCTCCAGAATGTGTTTCTTCTGCTGAAACCAGAAGGAATTTACTGTCGTGAGGCTTGAGCAGGAAACAGCTCGCACCTACCTTTATTCTTTCTCCTTGTTCTAGCTGTGGAGAGCCCAAGCAAGGTGGTCTTCACGGGTTCCACGTCCCGAGACTCAAGTTTTGATAGCTTTGTTATTAATCCTGTGAATTCCACCAATATTCATTTTGGCCACATGACCCCAAGATTCCCCTTTTCGTTTAAGATCATTTGAGCTGGGTTTCTTTGGTTGTCCTCAAAAGACTCCCTTTTAAATTGTTTTTAAACATGACAACTGTGTCATCAAACCCTCTTGCCAGAACAAGCCTATCCTATCAAGGTTAACCCATTACAGATTTTCTTCAATTCGTGTCTCCACTCCCAAGTGCTCTGTAATTGCTCCATCCTCCTCAAAAATCTCTACCAGCTCAGACCCGCCTTAACAATTGGCTTGCAAACATCAGTAACTTCTCATGCACTAGCAAACAATTCTCAATAGTTTCCAAACTAGATGGCTTTCAGAAACCCAAACTTTTTTTTTTTTTTAAGAGTTTATTTATTTATTTGACACAGAGAAAGAGAGAGCTCAAGCAGAGGGAGCAGCAGGCCGAGGGAGAGGGAGAAGCAGACTCCCTGCTGAGCAGAGAGCCCGATGTGGGACTCCATCCCAGGGCCCTGAGATCATGACCTGAGCTGAAGGCTCATGACCAAATGATCCCTTCAATGTCTTCCACACCAATCTCAAAGTTCACCTTCTTCAGAAAGACTTCCTTGTTCTTCCTGCATAGATTTAAGTATTTCCTCCTCTCGACTCCCACTGCCATTAGTAAAACCGTGCCCTCTGCAGAGCTTCCATTCCAAACCCAGTGGGGTTTTAATGAACTATTTACTCATTGACTCCCTGCCTTAGACTTTGAGTACTTTGAGGGGCTGCATTTTATTTTGTCTCTGTATTCCCAGTACCCAACATACAGCAGACACTAATAAGAAAAAAAGTCATAACAAATAATTTTTTTAAGAATTTATAAAATAAGGACTAATATGGAAAAAGAAACGCTAGCAGTTTCCTCTCAAGAAAAAAATACTTACCTATATAAACTATGCTAGCCCGTATATAAATTAGAGCCAACAACAGATGATATAGGTATTCAAATAAATAAAGACTGCAAAATTTGGGGAGGACTTCATGAAGAAGTTAAGTCAACTCTGTACAACTAAAGGAACACGGGGATTTAGATCAATGCTGTGGGGCTTTTCCTATTGCTTCAAATTCATTCGAAATGACTTTAACTTAAAATGAGAAAACGTAGTCAACATAAAATGGTCAAAAACTCATGGAGAAAATGAACAGAATATACTTCATTATAGAACTCTCTAATAAGGCAAATACTACTGGTTTTCAAATGTTTTATTACGTAAACATTTATTTTTAGTTGCTTTTCCAAATGACCTCTTAAGCTGAATGCCAATATATAAATCCGAAGTAGCTGAGGAGGGAGGAGGGATTGCAGGGCTCAGGATATTTCCAGTAGAGCAAGGCCTCCTCTAGCCCATAGGTGCCCCATGTCTCTTGCAGGGAACCCCTGAGCTTTTAAAACCTAATTTCAAAAAATCTTTGGAATTGACAATTATCTTATTTATATGGTAAATAACATATTTCTTTGATGATTTGGAAGAATACTTTTTTTGTTTTTTGTTCTTTTTAAGATTTTATTCATTTATTTGACAGAGAGAGATAGCGAGGGAGGGAACACAAGCAGGGGGAGTGGCAGAGGGAGAAGCAGGCTTCCTGCTGAGCAGGGAGCCCGATGCGGGGCTCAATCCCAGGACCCCTGGGATCATGACCTGAGCTGAAGGCAGACACTTAACCGACTGAGCCACCCAGGTGCCCCAGGAACACTTTTTTTTTAAAGCCTCAAAAGTTATCAATTCAAAGAAAACAAATATAGAACATTAAGCATTTTTTCAGTAGACAAACATTTATCGAATGTCCTCTATATACCAGATACTGTGTTAAACACATTTGGTCGTATGTACACCTATAATATTAAAAATAAGAAAACCACAAATCTGCACAATAAATATATTATCTAAATACATCACGGATCTCTATGACAGTACAGTGGGGTGAGGAAGAAGCTGTGAGAGATTCAGGGAAAAGGAGCTGAGGACAAGAGAAGGAGAGATGAAAAGGAAGTCACAAGGGGAGGGAGGACAGGAAGTCACAAGGGGAGGGAGGACAGGAAGTCACAAGGGGAGGGAGGACAGGAAGTCACAGACACACTCGGGAAGGCGCAGGTGGGGGCCTCCCCGCACGCCACGTCTAGCCCCTGGCCTTCACTGAAGCTTGCCATGGGCAAGATGGCATCTCCCGCCCCAGGTTCCACAGCGGCATCCTTCCCTGCTTGGCCACCTATTCCCAACCACATCACTGTGCTTTTTTGGCTCACTCTTTTCTTCCTACTCTGGATAATCCCTGAAGCTCAGACCTTGGTGCCTTCCTCTCTACTTTCCCTGTGAACTGATCTCTTTTGAATACTTCACTTAACCACCGTCAAGCCATTACCCGCCACCCGGGATATGACCCATCACACATCTCTTCAGACAGTCCACTGTTGCTTTACAGACGCAAAGTTCATCTGTTCTACTCTATCCCAACTTTCCCAGACCCATACGGTGAACATTTACTTAGTCTGAAACTTTTTGCACTGTTCTACAATATCAGATCTGTCACAATTCTTGTCGACTTTTTACAACTTTTAACTGAAGTACCAATTTTCTTTTCCATGTCCAGTGTCCTGACCTCAGGCCCGGTCACCTTCTCTCACTGTTACACTGCACTGGCTTCTTTACCTCTGAGGTTTAGTCTCACCATTTTCTCCTTTACTTACCCCAGATTCTGTCTTTTTAAAACTTCAAAATCACACTTGTTTCTGTATCTTTCCCGCTTTGTGTGCATATATAGCCTCTAACATCCCTGAACTCTTGTAGCACTTAATGTCTGCAATGCTTATTTTGCTTATAAACACACACTCCTTCATATTATTCATATTTGTCCTAGTCTTTCCCAAAGGGAGGTAGGGCCTTTTATTCAGGGTAACTGCATCGGGGAAAAGGAAGTAATCAGACCTCTTGGGAACTACCGGACACTGGTTCCAAACAGATCCTAATTCCAAGAGACTCAAAACATGCTCCACCAGTCAGAGCCGGGGCTTATGGAAGTCAGCTGATGAATGGAGTTGGAGCTCAGATCCAGCTCAGTGCATCCCTGAGCCCAAACTTCATTTATTTCCCTAGTTCTGGAAGGTGTGATTAGAACAGACATAGCAGCTGGAAGAATCACTGCATATGTGTTTAGTAAGAAGTCGACTGTTTCACCAAAAAGACATGAATTTTGTAAAGACATCTTGCTTGTGTTTTATAGTATTACTTCTAAATAAAGCAAAAACTTTTGAAGATAGTTGCATTTTTCCAATTATTGACATATCTACACCTCCTGGTGATCACTTTACAAATGGGATTAAAGCAAAATGCTCGATATTAACATCTGAGCTGGATATTTTTTACTGAATCCAGAAGTGGTCCATACATCATCTTCAGCTTATCCAGTTTTTTTGATGATATTATTTACTATTTCCTTCCAAGGGTTCAAATACCTTTGAATTATGTTCTTACTAATAGCCTTTGAGTTAGTGATTAGGGCAAATAGTATACGTTTAAATCAGATAACTCACCAAATGTCAACAAGTTGAGGATTTTCTTTTTGACAGCGAGGACAGAAATATGTCATTCTGTTATTCTCTCCTAAGCGACACACTGTTATTTTGCAACAGCACTGACAACAGTTAGGACGCTTATAAACCTTATAGTGTTTAGAGATAACAGATCCCGTTTTATGGCACTAAAAACAAACAAACAACATTATAATATTATCTATAAAACAGTGTTGCTAAGGAGCCAAAGATACATTCCTGAAAGTCATTTCTGAAAATAATTTGTTGAAAATTTACATGTTTGTACCTAAGTCCATATAATCTTTTCTTTCATCTGAAAAAAAGATATTGATAGGATTCAGCAATATTTGTCAAACAAGATTTGTGTGAAATAACCCATTATTTTATAACTTATTAGTATTCAAAATTGTTCTTTGCATAGCATTATCTTTTTATCTAAATGGGATGTAAAAGTTCTACAATTTAAAATGTCTTTTATGCTTTTATGTTTTTTTTAAATTAAACATAATTATGTGGTTATAAGAAAAAAGACTAGATTAGCTAGAAATCTGATTATTTTTAGAACACTAAAGCTGCTCACTTTCTTTCAACAGCCAAAAACAAAAAATTTATTTCTACAGTGAAAAACTTGAGATCATCTTTTTTTGTTGACCTGACAAAGGATGCTTTTTCATTTTTAATCTCACAAATTCACTAAAAAAGAAAATAAAAATTCAAATGCCTTCCTAGCAAAGAACATGTCCCATTTGGTATACATTCTAATTCAAAAGACATTTTGATATTCTGTCAGTTTTATTCTACTCATATATATTTAAAGCTTCTAAAAAGACAATGTTTTGGGTTTATATCAGCACTGTAAAAATCTCAAGGCGCAGAAATATGACTTGCCATATATAAGTTGAAACTTACACAAACAACTTCTACTGATTTAAGCAAAGTATTAAAATATCCAAAACTTAATCTGGGTCAAAAATGGGTAGTGGTCTATAATGCTTCCCTGAAAGAATAAGTAAGCACACAGAATATTAAAATAGCCATAATCCTCAAGGCAGACTTGTAAAGCAAGAGGTTCATTAAGACTTTAGGCCAATAAATGAAGACTCCTATCATACCTGCCTTTCTGAACATAGTAAAAATAAAAATTCTGAATACAGAAAATGGACTGTGGAGAAAAAAAACAGACATATTTATTATACTTTGTTGAAAAGAGAAAGTGTGTTTTTTTGAACTCTATATATGCAGATGTATACGCATATATACAACTTTCAAAATTTACAGGTTAACAAGTACTTACTTCATTCTCAAAACAGTCTTTGGGGTAGATAGAAAAATATTATTATCCCATTTTACAGATGAAGAAACTAAACCTAAATTATGTAAATAATCTAAACCACACTGATAGAAAGTGGCAAAACCTGACTGAATTGAGATACATTTATTCCAAAGAATTGAGTCTCTCTCTCTCTGGAGTTCCTACATTTTACTTTCAGATGTCCAAAGACAGAACAAGAATCTAAGTAAAATGCTAACACAGTTGTTCCCCAACTTAGTATAAAGATAATTTAATACAATTATTGTTAGACAAGTTTGGACTGACCCATGACATAAAATTTCTAGAAGTGAATTATGCCACACACACGTCCATCTCCCTTCCTGTACCTCTACATACTGACCACTAGATGGCTACAAACAGCCTTAACATTTTTGGTGCAATCCAAAGGGAAATAGTTGACATTTTACATAGTAGAAACATTTTTCCTCTTACCCTGTAAAAAAGAATGCTGAAGTCACGTATCATTTTCACAAGGTAATGGGTCTGTTCATCTGTCAACTGACAAACCTTAAAATAGAAAAACAACTGAGGACAGTTTCATAACTTGTTACTGTTGAAAAATAATACCAGTTGCAAGTTCTAAGAAAACCATACACAGATTTAAAATATATACATTTCTTCTAGATCTCTATTTCTCACACATCTATTTAATGTCATTAACAATGGCTTTAAGTGATGGCATTACAGATAAAAAAAATACCATTCTTGTTTATAAATTTTAATTTTAAATACAAGTAATTCTAAATGAGTATCTCTTCTGTATCAGACATCGTCAAAGTCCCAGCACTGAGTGTCAGCCACCTTGAAAAGTCTCGCTGGATTTGCAAAAACAAAACAAAACAAAACAAACAAAAAAACAGAAAGAAGGAAGGGAGGGAAAAGGGAAAAATCAGCACAGGAATAGATGACCATCAAGGTCACTATCAAGCTTTAAAAAGATATGAATTTATATACATGTATTAATATCAGAGTACTTGTTAATACCTGGAAGAACTCAGAAATAGCCCTTACTGAAGAATTTTTTGTGTCATGGCCCGGCATAAATCTCAGTGTTATCTTTGTAGAATACATTATCATTTGGCATGTGCTTTCAATGGTGATGTCAGAAAATATCCTGTCTGATGACTTACTCTTGTTTATGTACATGAATGTATACAAACATCTATATACAATAGAAACTAATTTATCAGTGACTATAAAACCTAAAATCATTGAATCAACATAATCATTATCAAAATATGAATATTTTTCATTTAAGTTTAAAACATAAACACTTTTGAAACTGAGTTATTTCTTAGCATATCTTATATACTATGTTTAGTCAAATGTTAAACTGCAATTTTTCAATAATTGTGCATGCGCTTTTAGGTGGCTAATAGCTAAACTTGAGAACTGTCATTAACTTTGAAACTCCCAGACATATGGGCAAATGATCTTTTACTAGATGAAATGGCCTGCTGGATATACAGATAAAAAGTAAATTCCCAGTTTATCATAGATAATGACAATACTCTGAGTAACAATACTCTGGGTTCTTTTTTTCTAAAACATTTTTCCATTGAGGTCTAGATGATTTCAAAAAGCTTATTATTAAAATTCTGTTTCATTACTCCCATGTTACAGAAACTTAACCAACTTGTTCCAAGAGTCAAAAAGCAGAACCTAATCTAGAAAAACCATTAACTGGTTTCTTTGAAAACTTATTTCTCACTGATTTGGATTTAACGAAAACTACCTAGGAAATAATAACAGAAAATCAAAAGGTATCTTTGGACTCAGGTAAAAAATGATTTCGTTTAAAGAGACCAGTTGGATGTAGATAAAAGCCCTAAAGTAGAGTTCTTCCCTTAGAAACTAAAATATACATAGCCTTCTACCTGGCTTTGGGTTCTAATCTCTCTGAATTTCTTACAACTTGGCCCTATTAATCACCATCTCTTTCCTACAATTTTAACCTTTCCCTCCTATTTTTTTTCTTATATAAATAAGTTTGTGTCTCTGCAGTTGAAGAACAAGGAAAATACCACAAACCCGGTCCTTGTTCTGACCGCCCCCCCCCAACTCCCAGTGGCCTGTGTTTTCCCTTTATTTCGGTAGAGCTGTTTTACAAGTGCTCCAAATTTTGTTTCCATCTCACCACTAGTCCCTTATTCCTCAGTCCCCACTCCCCAACTGCAGTGCTTATTCCCTCAAAACAGCATTTGCTAATGTCAAAGTAGCTAGAAATAGGAATACAGGAGTGTGTATAGGGTGTGAATTTAACATGCCAGGTACAAAGAGCAAGTTACGAGCTTACTTCATTCCTACACCCAAAAAATCATTCCTGAATGCCTTCCTTGTGCTAGACACCACATTCTAGAGGCTTGGATCCATCCTGTGAACACAACAGACACCTTCCTCATAAGAGATGGCGATGTAGCAGGAAGAGACAGATTTTAAATAATAAATCTAACAAGTAAAAATCAGGTTATGTTCGAAAGTGATCAACGGTATGGGTAAATACAAAGCAAAGCAAGTTATAGAAGACAGGGAAGGTGAAGTGGGAGGAGCGGATGCACGGAGTGGTCAGTGTTGGATGCGTTGAGAAGCTGACACAAACAAAGACCCCAGAAGTCTCTCTTTGGGGAGAATGTTTTACTGAAACACAGACTTAAGTGTTCCATGTTGGTCCCTCAACAGTATCTAAAAATACAGAAATCATTAAAAAAAAAAAAATACTTATGACCTACTTTAACAGCTGGGTGGAGGCCACTGTCAAAGAGAGCTTCATTTTTGATGATGTTCCCTACCCCAGGCAACACTTTCTGGTCCATTAACACATCACACAACATCCGTCCTTTCTGCTTCTTAACTTCACTTTCTGCTCTTGAGAAACTAAATTTAGGGGAACATACATCTAATTCTTCCATCATTCTTACTCTCTGTTGGCTTTCTGTGGAGTTTCTGTAGCAAGGAATATAAAACACATTAATCATAAGTCTAGTTATAATTTCACAAAGTGTCATTTAAAAAGAGCTTTGATATAAACACTTTCTGTTAATCGGGGTATGAGTTATAGAGCCAAACAATGAAGACCCTAACAAATCAGATTATCTGAAGGCGCTTTCAAAATGAGGTTTTATCAATTATAGACCATTTGTAAAACATCTATCTCCACATTTCAAACCAAACTGCAGACCCATCACTGCAATTTTTCAGCTGAAGTACTTTTCTTTTCTTTTTTACCTGAGTTCTACTGATGAGTCAAAGAAACAAATCAAATCCTTGATGAGCTGCACTTCAAAAACAGGAGAAACTCCATTTTTATTTTTATGCTGAAGTGGATTAATCATGATGGAGCCTTTCATTCCAAAATGAATCCTGAAACAACATCAAGCGCAGCTTTGAGTGGCAGAAAGTACATAGTATACCTAATTTTTGTTCCTTCATTTCACTTTTTGGATTATAAGCAAACAAATGTTACTCAAGATAGGCACTTTTAGGGGGCAAAAACTGTAGCCAATATTATATCTTTTTCTGTTATGGCTTTGTATCCTCATAAAACTAGAAGATGTGACAATTCAGTTTTTCAAACCACAAATAAAATAAATTCCTAGAGAAATAATAGGGTCCGACAATAAGCCCAAGAAAACATACCCTGTTCTTCTTTTCTTGTCAGATGAAGTACTTTTATTCATGGAACAGTCTAGTGTTTCAGCTTTCTCTCAGAGTCAAAGGCTTTGGATGAGATGAGGCTAAATTTAAATTGCCTACAGTTTTTTTTTTAAATAAATTCTACAAAGCCACTGACATTCAAATTCTGTATTTCTAGCCACAATGGATGGGAAATGTTTACCTACTCCAAAATGATATCTACAGTTGAAGACACTCTTTTTTCCCCCTTGCTCTGGGATACACAATGAAACAATTTTTTGCAAAATCTTATTCATCAAAAGAGAAGGAAACAAGTCAAAATGCTATTGTCTTCAATTCTTTTTTCTCTTACCTTTATATGTATTGGGAAGAGGGGATTTATAAATATTTACAGTTAGCTTGAAAGCCACTATGCAGTGATGAAAAATTTATAATATTTCAGTTTTTATAGGATTGATTAGCATGTCCAGTAAAAACAAAAAAAAAAAGAGAGAGAGAGAGAGAGAGAGAAAGTGGTTTTATGAGACCTCTGATGATGAAGATCAAAAATGATTCTCAAGATGAAATACTGTGTTCCGCCTTTCAAATCCTTCTCCTTCTAGCTTTGTTGAGTTAATAAATATGGCTCTTTTGGCAGCAAATGTTACTGCACTGTGCTTCTAATTCCAAAGCACCACGTTATAGTATTGTACAAGGTTAACCAGTCTAACTTTAAAAATGTGGGTTTTAAACTCTGTGTGCCCTACTATCAATCATAAATGCATTTTACATGCATGCCCCATAGTTCTTGACAGGAAAAATGTGTGCCTGTAAGTACTCCATAATTTAGCTTATGGAGGTTCAACCCCAGTGAAAGGTGTACAACTGTCATGCCCAGAAGCCATTATATCTAAAATCTTTTCAGCTGCATGGCTCATAAAGTGGATTCTAAATCACTTTCTATAATGAAACTGCATCCACATAAAAAATCTCAAAGGTTAAGACCCAAATGATATGCAGGAGTACCCCCAATAAGAACTCTGAATCAAATTAAGTATGCTTTTTTTGACCTTATTAAATCTATTCAATTTAGAAGAACATATGCATAAAAATCACAATTTTTAGGCCATTCTTATTTACTTTATTTTTATTAAATAGCAAAATGTTGTGATAATTGAGCCCAAATCAACCAACAAATGTTGGGTTTATTGTTAAGTACCTTTTATATTAAACTGAGAAACATACACCACTATCGTGGAAATTTTTTGGCACAGTAACATCGTGCACACACAGTCAGTCTTGCACCGGGCAGCAAACAGAAGCAGGAGGCCATAGGGGAGGGCAGGAAAGCGTTTGCCACCAGGCTCAGGCCAAATGCACTCTGCTGAGGATGAGCAGAGCAAAAGCCATCTGTCTTTAGGGGTGAGGTAGGGCATCAGCTTTGTCACGGAATCCTGCAGTGAAATGTGGAGACATCTGTTCCCACTGAGAGAGAGGAAGGAAATGCTCTTTTACTGGAGATCGCCCACACATGGAAGGAAGAATTTGACTGCCTTGCGGAGGAAAGGATCAGTAGCTCTGAGAAAAGTGCAACCCTCAGGTCCATGTGCACAGGGCCTAAGATTAAGGCTGGTCTAGAAGAACCATTTTCCCCATGATGGACTTCTCCCTGAAAAACGGACAACAGCAGTCTACCACTGGGGTGGGAGTGGGGGAGGGGAAGGGAAGCGTGTGGAGAAATCCCCTCATGATACGAATACCCAGGGTCTGCTAAAAGCTAAGAGTAGAGGGCAGAAACACAGAGAACCAGCTCCAGCCACACCAGGCCACACTTGAGGCATAAAGAAGTGGGAGCCGCTGAAGTTTTTGATGTCATTGGTGCACCAAAGCCAACTACAACACAACAAAATCCGAACCAAGCTTGACTAATCAATCCCCTGCCCTAATGACCTGATAGAAGAGGCATTACTATTTTTGGGGTTAAATATTATTTAATTCAGTCTCTACTGTTCCTCTAAACACGACTATCTGGAATTCAAAAGATTTATGACCCATAAGAAAGAAAAAACAACAAAGGGACTCAATGTCAAGAGATAAAACAGTCAACAGAGCCAAACCCAAAGATGTGCCAGATGTTGGAACTATGAGGCAGATAATTTATTTATTTATTTATTTATTTATAAGATTTTATTTATTTTTTAACAGAGAGAGAGAGAGACAGTGAGAGAGGGAACACAAGCGGGGAGAGTGGGAAAGGGAGAAGCAGGCTTCCCGCCGAGCAGGGAGCCCGATGTGGGACTCTATCCCAGGACCCTGGGATCATGACCTGAGCCGAAGGCAGACGCTTAACGACTGAGCCACCCAGGCGCCCGAGGCAGATAATTTAAAATCAACTTAACAATTAAAATTACAGTTGTCAATTGAGAATACCATGCCAGGTAATTCTGCTATGATAAGATCTCTAACCTTCCACAACTACTATAGTGCTGCACATGCATTTTATGCTAACATGTTTCCAGGCTTTTATAACCTTGCACAGAGGTGTGGATAAATTTACACAGTCAGAGCCAAGGCAGGCCATGCATGGGCCATTCCCTATTGTATGGCCCGTTGTAGATGCTTCCCACTCATGATAGATTTCTATATGCCTTCAAAAAGGATATAAGAAAGCACCAGTACCCAAGATCCTGCAAATCCACATCTAGGAATTTATCATAAGAAAACATCAAAATGGTAAAAGATATATGCTCAAGGACATTAACTTCAGAGTTATTCATTAGAGTGAAAAATGGGGGAAATGCTAATCAGTAGTGATGATATCATGATCTGTGCATATGTAATATAAATTATGTATGAATATATGGTATATACACAATTTATATTTTATCTATGATATTTACAAAAACTTTTAAATGTGCCCTTTTTTGGTGGTAATAATTACGGGTGGTATTTATTTTTGCCATTAGACTTTTTGGAACTATCTTAATGTTTTATAATTGACTTTTATATTACTTTTAAAATAAGGAAAAAATGCAATAAAATGATGTGTATTATTAAATAAAGCAAGAAAAGGAAGGCAGAACTAGTAATCATGTAGGTTGTCAGGGGCAGAAGGGAAAGCCAATGAAAAAGGTAAAGCTTTCTAGATTTTCTCCAGTTACACCTGAAAGCAACATGGTAACTGAAATAGAAAATAAAAATTTCAAAATCTACCATTTCAAAAACTAAAGATGTTTCATTTTCTGCCTGTAGATTACTTTTAATGGTTAGTTTTCTTATTTTCTCTTTCTTTCTCTCCTGCTTCCTTCCTTCTCTTTCATTTAAATCGACATATAACATTAAATTAGTTTCACGTGTACAACATAATGATTCAGTATTTGTAGACATTGCGAAATGATCACCACAATTAAGTCTAGTTAACATCAGTCACCAGACACAGTTACACTTCTTTCTTGTGATGAGAACTTTTAAGATCTACTCTCTTTGCCACTTTCAACTCTGCGGCACAGTATTGTGAAACACGGTGGTCCCCGTGCTGTATGTCACATCCCCAGGACTTATTTCCTATCTGGAAGTTTGTGCCTTTTGATAATGGTCAGTTTTCTTAAATTGCGGGCGACAGAAACCTAACTCAAACAGGTTTAGGCACTAAGGAATACTTAGTAGCTCACAGGATCTGAGGGAGGGTTGAAGAATCAAGTTGCAGGAAAGGAAGGAAAGCCCCTGGATCTCAGAAACAGATGGAAGGAGGGGCTAGAAGCCCTTTCGGATTCTCGTCTTTGTGCAGGCTGGTTTTATTTCTCACCACCTCACAAGCCGAGTAACACAGCCACCTACAAGTCTGAAGGCCTCACATCCTAGCTTCCCTACGTTACAGAGCCTGACCCTCCTTGGCTCCAGATATGGAAATCTCACGGAAGAACCACACTGACCCAACTGACTATGTATGAGACAGAATGTCCAGTAAGATCATGCTAGAGTTAACTTGAACTCTGTGGTCAGTGTGGCCAGATGACCAGTTTCCAGAAGGAACGCTGTCCCTAAAAGACAAGTGAGCATGTTGGGCAGACAGAAAGTAGGACTGACTACGCTTCAAGTATCTGATTTCATTTAGAAATTTTTCTAACATGGTAACGTGGCAGATCACAAAATCTATGTCTAAGCTGTAAAACCCTTTTTTGAGTAGTGTAGAATAGACTCCTTAAAGATTGTTTCGCAAACTACAAAGAACTGTCACATTATCTCATGCATTGCTGTTTCGAGGATATAAACTCCAATAAATTACAAAATTGATAATGTATAAGGCTTCTCTAAAATGGCAATCCTGTAAAATATTTCAGATATGCTTCCAGAAGATGATCATTGCAAACCATCAGAGTCATATAAATCACAAATTGGAAATAGCAAAGTGTTTTGGAAAGAGAGATTCATTAAAAAAATATATCTTTTAAATGCAAGTCCAAGATGTAACAGCTGGGTTCATTTTGATGGAAAATGGCAGCTTCCAGGGTGGGTGTGTCTGAGTGAATAGACGGGTAGATACATGCCCACACGGTACTGGCAATATATATATACATCCACAGTTAATAGAGGTTATATTTGGGAGTGAGATTGTGAATGTATAAATTTATCCTTGCTTGTTCCTTATGTCTCAGTTTTCTCTAATGAGTATTTGTTACATATATAGCCAAAAAATTAAAAATGATTTCTGTTTTGTTAAAGATGATGAGCTTCTTTAAAGTGTTCAGGAGTATAGGTATTAATCACACATAAGACCACAACTGTGCTCTTGGAATAAATGCATATCAAATAATTTTTTTGCATTCTGTGGCACTTTTAGGATCACTTGAGCACTTTGATAAATCTTTTAGTAACAGAAATAGTTATTCTAATTTGTGTCTCTCTGAAGTGTGGATTTTTGCATGGCAGATTCTCAGAGGGCTAGGTCTGTATTCTATTTCCATGACAAATGAATCCTAGGAAGATTCATGGCCTGCCCTGTAAGATGCATTAAAATCCAGGGCAATTTTAACTGTAAAAAGGTGCATGTTAAGGGGTAAATATAAGTGAGCATTAAGCGTGTTTCCTGCTACATGCTCTCTAAAATGCAGACCACCCTGGTGGGTAGCAAGAAGAGGTGAGGAATGAAGACATTTCTATCTCATGCTCACAGACTTGCAACCTCACACAACGATCACATTTCTGTGAGTCATCCATTCTCTTAAGAAGCATAGGTTGGGGGAGAGAGAGAGAGAGAGAGAGTGTGAATGTGTGTTTGTGTGTGTGTGTATGTATATAAACAAACTTCTATTAAATTGTGAAAGGGGACGCAGTTGATTTTAGGTTGCTCGGTTTGTATTCAAATAGCTGATCTGCCACTGCCCTTGAATTATTATATCAAATAGTCATTAGGGCTGTAGGAAATTAAAAGGAAGCAAGCCACTGCACTTTTCCCCATGCATACACTGAGATACGAACTCCCCGGGGATGGTACTAGTTCAGTGAGTTTAAGGAAGCGACTGCCCTTGTTTAGAACTTCAGGGAACATTTACTGACAGCCCTGCACTGAGAAATGATTCTTCCTTTATCAGTCTGGTGGAGAACACTTGATAAAAACCACCGTCTCATCCTACAGAAATAAATCCGCACCTAACACGAGGGAATCAATAACATATCAATGTTCAACCATCTTCCATGGATGCCATTGTGTCCTCCTCCGTTCAGAGCAAAGAGTTTTCCATCACATCCATCTACCACCACAACAATATAACCTGCAGTAGATCATTCCTGCATGAGCCAGGAAGCCTATGCTGACATTATCCTTTCCAGACTGAGAAAAAAACCCCACCAAGTGACGCTGTTGTCCCAGGACGGCAGCTGCTGACAACAAAGAGAGAACATTTCAAAGGGGAAGCAATTACATAAACTCTGACATCCTCGAAACGTGCAGTAGATGAGGGGCAGCAAATAACCATCATACAGTCATATTAGCTCTCTGTGAGCATCAGTCATCTCCAGTTAGAGGCCCAGGGCCTAGTAACAGGGCTTTCCTTTAAGGTGAAATTCTTCAATGGCTTCCAGAAACATTAAGAGAGATTCAAGGGAGCACTACCTTCGTTCACGCATTGCAATACCTTAGGTAAACTCAGAGAAGACAAAGATTTGGTAGACATGTTAATCCATAGGCCTTTCTCTTTTTCCTGCAAAAATTCAGCAGGTGATCATGCTCTGACGAGTACACACATTTTGACATTCTTATCATTAAGTCAACCAACGCGGGAGATTGCCTGTCCTTCACTGCCAACCCATCAGCAATGAATTACCCTAAGGACTGTGGAAGAATGGAGAACTTGGGACTTCTGGGAAAAGTTGTGAAATTCTATAAATAAGTTTCCAATTCCGTACAAGCCTTCAGAAAAAGAAGGAAGACAGAGAACTATAAAAATCTAGAGACAGGTTGAAACCAAACTGGAAGCTGTTATACATATAAAGAAACTAATGTCGCTAATACAATAAAAGCTTGGGGAAAACACGAGGGAAAACAGGAGGGGAGAAGGGCTGGGAGAAGAGCCGTGTGGGAGATTCGCGAAGAGCCAAGCCGAGCTGTGTAGCTCTACCAGCTCCTGGAAGCCTGTCTAGCAGATCCATTTTTCTTAAAAGAAATAAATTGACTAGCCCTCCAAGTAATGATGACATCACAATCTATTCATCTTCTTATTGCTTTCCACGATAGAATCTCAACCTCTTATATTAGAGCTTTCTTAAAAATGGAATACTTTCTACATGATTAAATGTGATACTGGGTGAGCGGCAAGAAAAGCCTTTTACACATCCCTAAACAGAGAGATAAGATGTACTGTGCACGTTTATCTTACCGTAAAGCTTTTGGCCCGAAGTACATAAAGAGCTCCTTCCCCAAAGTCTGGACACCGCTGTAAACGTATCCATTAAACAGTCTCAAGGAATTCGGGCTGGAATCTTTGTTATTGTTCAGTGCAGCAGCCTAGGAGAAAATACACCCACACCCACGTAAACACACATACAAACTCTAAACAAAATTATAATTTCGTTCTTAAACGTATTTCTTTTACTTCATGCCCAGGTGCATCCCAGTAAAAGGAATAATCTCCAGCAAGTCAAGTAATGTAATCAGCTGTTTACGTACATTTTGTCAAATTACTATGGAGTCATTTCAAGAGAGAGGCCCCCCCAAAAAAAATTAAGTGCAAAAGAATGTAATTGGCTCACAACCAAAATGAGTTTCTTCCAGGACCATATAGCTCTGCACATATGAAAAGAAAGCACAGAAAAATGATGTGAATGTTTTAAAACTAAAATATAGGAGAGTCTTCCATTTCCAGAAGCATAGCCAAGGTCTCTGAGAGAGGATTCAGAAAGAGCTAAAAAACAGTGGATAAAATATGGAAACCAAATATTTTTACCTGTGATGATGAACTCAAAAGCCAGGAAGGAACAATAAGAGGTTGAAAACCAAGTAAAAATGGGTGAGAACCCCAAAGATAAGCAGCTCTCTAAAGCAGGCTTTTGTTAGAAAGGCATCTATGGGCCCCAAGGAAGGAGTTTCAGTTTCCATGGTCTTGTGGGGTGTAGGGAATCAGTGGTAAAGACCAGGCTCCCCTGAGTGACAGGAGCTAATGCATGACCTGCTCTTCTCTCCCTCCTCAAACCACAACGTCAAGAATAAAGGAAAAAGAAACCCGCTACTTCTTCCTCCCATCACCGTGCAAAACCAAACAATATATTGTGAGGATTACAGTATATGCCCTAAACACTGCAAAGATCAAGGAAGTTATAAACTTTCCCTTCTGTGGGGCAGGGAAAGGAATGGTACTGGGTTTAGATATTGGTAAGGCTCTTTTTCTCAATGTGTAGTAGGTAAACTGGTGTTCTTTGTATCGTTATTTTTCATTCTTGAGATACGTTTATAAATATTCTTTAATTTGCAATCAACATATAATAAAAAATTTAAAACTATCATTAATGCCTAGCTATTCTATAAGATACAATAGGTACATATAATTATATTTACACATTAACTCTTCATCTAAGGGAATATCCTCACATACTTCTAACCTTTCTTTTTCTCAAATGGACCTACCCATTCTCAGAAGATCCAGGATAAAATCTTGGTGGGCGGTGAGGTAGTGATGATGGGGGTGACAGGGCGATAATTATAAAACAATTTAGACATAGTCTAGGAGAAAATCACAACTTCCCCTCCACTTATGGTAGAATGATATTCAGTGATTCTCAAACTTTTGGTTTACAGACATCTGTCATTCTAAATAGTTAAGATGGTATGTCCACTCTATTCTTTAGTTTCCTCATTTGGCCCTTGTTTAAAAAGACACATTATAGTATTTAATTCAAAGGAACAGGAGGATAAGAGATTTTTAAGAAACCCCCAAAAACAAAAAACAAAGATTGAAAATGGCTAGGGACTGAATTTTGTCCCCTCCAACACTCATACGTTAAAGTCTAACCTCCAATGTGACCAACTTTGAAAATAGGGCCTTAAGGAGGTACTTAAGGTTTATTTTTTTTTTCTTTTAAAGATTTTATTTATTTATTTGAGAGAGAGAGAGAGAGAGAGCACATGAGAGGAGGGAGGGTTAGAGGGAGAAGCAGACTCCCTGCTGAGCAGGGAGCCCGATGCGGGACCCGATCCTGGAACTCCAGGATCATGACCTGAGCCAAAGGCAGTCGCTTAACCAACTGAGCCACCCAGGCGCCCGGTACTTAAGGTTTAATGAAGTCATAGGGTGGGGGCCCGATCCCGCAGGATTAGCATCCTTAGAAGAGACCACAGAGAGTTCGCTCTCCCCATCCTGTGTGCTCAGAGGTGGCGCCACGGGAAACAGAAGTGGTGTCTGCAAGCCAGGAAGACAGCTCACACCAGAAACCAAACTGGCCTGAACCTTAACCTTGGACTTGTGGCCTCCAGAACTGGGAGAAAATAAATCTCCGTAAGCCTCCTGGGTGATGGCATTTGTCATGGTAGCCCAAGCAGACTAAGGCAGGAACAGACAACATCCTTCCACTAAACCCCCGGTGAGTTACAGTGGCTATGGCCGATGCTAGAATCTCCCAGCTGCCTGACGTTCAGGGGACGGGCTTCAAATCCCTCCTCCACATAATAAGAACTGGGAATCAGTCACACGCTTGGAGTGACCAACAAACCAATGCACAGAAGGGATTACAAGTTTCAGCCTTCCAGTTCCGCCCAAACCGCAAAAAGAACCTTTAGGAGAAGGAAGGGAAAAATGAAGGGGTGGCGACGGGGCGGGGGGGGGGATCAGAGGGGGAGATGAACCATGAGAGACTACGGACTCTGAGAAACAAACTGAGGGTTCTAGAGGGGAGGGGGGTAGGGGGATGTGTTAGCCCAGTGATGGGTCTGCCTCTGATTCCTTTCCTCTTTCTTGGTTGAACCCCAGGGCCTAGCAGGGATCATCAAGCACTCTCACAACGGGCTTGAGGACTCAGGGAAGGAAAAATATACTTGCACATTTGCCTTGTTTTCATAAGGGAATCTGCTAGAGCCCTGAATTGAGAAGCACCAGGAGTCTTGATGTTTTCCTGCCTAACAGACTTTACCTTGCCACATAAATATACTTGGAGCCAAGGGTAGGTTAAGAGGCTAGGTTTCAATGCAGGTTTCCATGACAACCAATTAGTAGGTAAAAAGTTCTTTTCTAAACTAGCCTGGACACTTTTAAGATGATGATATACAGAGCAGATATAGATCTGTTATGAATCGCCTTTGCCTCAGCATAGATTGGGTTTGATACACTTTTGGATCCTGGATTTAAGGTCCTAGGGACATTTAAAAAACATTCATTTCTAGATTAATGTTTTCCCCACCACTCCCATGTCAACAATCTCTTATCCTCTCCCAACAATGTTTGCTAGCAAGGGTTTTTAAGCCACGCCCTGCAAAGTCCTTTGGCTTCTGTCAGGTTCCCAGCAGAGGCTAGGTGGTCGATCCCATGTCATACGTACACACCCAGACGCTGTCGTGGCTTTCCTGCTTGCTGGCCAAGGGGGAACTGGCGACCACTGCCACCATAGTGCTTTCATCTCCTTTAACCCTCCAAGTTTTACAAGTTCACCTAGAACTCAACCTGTCTCCAGTGTGTTGGGAAGGTAATCATATGCAGTCCGTCATACCTCCATCCCCTGGGCTGCCTAAGAAGGGGCGTTGGGCCTGGAACACTTCCTGGCTAGAGACAAAGAGCACTCACACTCTGTTGCCTTGGGAGCGAGAATCTTTCCCTCTTCCAGGCTTGATGTACATTCCTGTGTGTGCCACTGGCCCTCAGGCACGACCCCCCAGCTTTCTGAATTGCAGACCCCAGGGGGAGGGCTCGGCGTCCTTCCACCTCTGCACAAAGTGGGGGGTGTGGAGTCACACTGAATGTGTCTCCTGCACACAGGACCTGATGGCTGTGGGGCCCATGCCTTGTGAGGGGCTGGGTCTGGGCTCTCTCTTGCCTGGTGCTCTCAGTGCATACTGGACCACTTGAACCTGCTGTGCATGTTTTCTCAGCCACTTGGGATCAGGCTGGTTTCTTCCAGTAGCCCTTGGCTGCCCTTTACCTTGGCCACCATCCTGTTAGGGTCTAGCCTTCCGCACAGCCTGACTCCCAGGGAACGGTAAAACACAGTATCCCTCTCACTTCCCACGTTTCGGTTTCTCTGTTTCTCACGGTATCGCCCTGAAGCTAATCTTGCCCCCCGCGCTACTTCACCCAATGGGAAGCAGCTCTTACTCAACCACTTCTCTGTTCCCTGCCCACACCTCCTTTCCTCCACCTCATTCCGAATTTACCGTGTGTTATCATGGCTCCTGGCAAAGAGACGGACAAGGTAACCTTGAACTAGACAGGACGGTAAAACACCTAATAAACAGTACACGAGTCCCAGTTGTCTCCTGTGAAGTCTGCTCACACTGCCAGATTCACAGCTTTGACGAGCACTCGCACCATTCAGGTTAAAACGCACTGTCAACAGCTACCACAGTTCACTGTTACTCACTCACTGGGCTGTGTCTGTAATTTGACCCCGTCTGACAACAAAGGTGGGATATGACACCTGGAAAGACGCCCCTCACCATTAAAGAGGGACCATTCATGACTGTTCATCAGATTCATTCATTTTAGAAAAGTTTATTGACCTTCCAGTATGTATTAGACCTTGTTCCAGATGCTGGGGATGCATCAGTGAGAGGAAAAAAAAAATTAAAAATCCCCTGCCTTCACAGAGCTTATAATCTTCCAGGCAGGGGAGAGTAAGCAATAACTATAATAACTGTGTTAAAACATTTGGAAAAGAAATCAAGATTAAGGGAGGGTGTAGCAGGTTCTAATTCTAAATGAGGCAGTCATAATCTCATGAAGAAAATGGTATCTGAGCATGTCTCAAGGGGGTTTTGAGTGAGCCATGATCCACGCATAGGGAACGGTGATGCAAAGGCCCTCCAGTAAAGTGTTTCTGATAACCAGTGAGCGAGCAGGCCAGGATGGCTCACAGGGGAAGGTGTAGACAGATGAGAACCAGACCACGAGGCCCACAAGGTCCACTCTACAGACTGGCTGCTTCTCGACACAAAAGAGCACGAAGAAAAATAGGATCTGCATTACTTTTTAAAATGCTCTCTCTGGTTGCTGGGTAGAATTCTGGCTCCGGAAAAAATTATAAAAAAAAACAAAAAAGAAAAAAGAATTCTGGCTCCAGGGATCAGAGTGCAAGCAGGCCAAGAACTCAGAAGAACCACTGCAACGATCCAGACGAGAGAGGAAGGAACTCTGGGCCGATACCGTAGCGGCAGAGGTGGTGAGAAGTGGCCAGATTGCCGGAGGGATTTTGAAGGTGGAGCAGAGAGGATCTGCTGGCACACTGGATATGGGAGATTTTTGGCCTGAATTATTGGGAAGACAGTGGCGCCGGCAACGAAGATGAAGATTTGGGTGGAACTGGATG